GCACCCATCGGTAGGTATTCCCTTGTACATGGTCATTTCAAAATAATTTGAGCCATTACATACGCCACCACTGATAACACCAGCATTATGGGTAAAGCCATCACCTTGATCAAATTCATATACATTATAATATAATACTATTATTTATACATATTTGAATTCTACATTAACCTACCATTAATAAATGTCGATACACGGTATAAATTGGTAATGTTGACTGGTACAATTCTAGGTGGTATGGTCTGGATGCCTAACCATAACTGAGATGATAAAGTAGCCTGGAACACCCCATTACAACTAGCAAACGCCATGGTGGACCCACCAGTTAATATTGTACTTATATTCACGGCACTACCAGCCTGTGTGCTACATATACCCATTGATTGGTACGTTTGAACAGGGAATGCCACCGGGGTAAACACTATTTAAATATAAATATAAAACGTAAATATTGCACTTATATTAATATTATACTTTTGATACAATTTAAGTAAAAAGTTTAAAATAAGTTAAAGTGTACCAGTATAATTAAATGGATCTCCCTGTATTGTACCAGAGCCTGTAAAATATACAAACATTTTTAACTAAAATATAATATAGCATAATATAATTTTATATATACTATATTTATATTATACATACCTGTTGCAAAATACCCATTTACGATATAAACCTTTTGACTAAATAATACTATTAATACAGCACAAATAAACTGTAATAACATTATTAAATAATTTACGTTATGAAATACTTTTAAAAAATATATTAGTTGTTATGTTTTACTAAATTTAGTTACAAACTTAAATATTTATACAAAATATTTTTGTTTTACATTTAATATTAAATAAAAATAATAATTGAAACATATTTAATTGTATTATACTGTAATTACAACTTCATAAACATAATTTCAAGCTGGATTCCTATTGTATTTATAAATTAATATTATAATAAACATAATACAAGTATTGTATATAAATGTTTAATGCTTTTATTGCTTATAATATTTTTTATTTAGCACCTGGTAGTTATTAATGTATATTACATTTAAATGAACACATCATACAGTATATTATTTTTGAAAACTTCATTTATTAAATTGTTTAATTGAGATATTGTCAGATATGAAAAAATACAAATTTAAAATAAACAATTAAGTGTATGAACTATTGTGAAAAGGAACGGTAGCTATTGAATACATGTCCTATATAATTGGTTATAAAGTTAATGAAAAATAATTAATTTTGTAAACATTAATAAAAATACAATCATATACTGATAAATAGGGTCATAAAAATAAATACAACAATGGTTTGCATGCATAAGAAATATAATCATAGACACGAACAATGGTTTTATGGGGAATACCATAGTCTTATAATAAGAACATGAATTACATTATCGAGACTACCGGTGCCCACCATTAAGCAAGTATCTCAGCCAACCGTTGCTGGTGTCTCATTATACGCCTTTCCGCGTCGAACAGGTAGTCCGGCTCCAGTAGTCCAACACCCGATGCCTCCATATCCAAGAGCTCCCGTTCCAGACGTTGTATTTCACGGACCTCGCGCTCCAACTCGAGATACCGGTGCCGTTGGTGATGGTTATGGCGGTAGAGGTTTAGGTGGGTCTCGTATGTTGACAGTAGGGGTCCGATACGGGTGCTGATGAATAGTCCGGGTGTTTGCCGTTGACCAGTAGTCACTGATAGATATTAGATATTAGGTATTAGATTAGATGGACAGTTGACTAGAGAGGTAGTGATAATAGGCTTACCATTGATGAGCACAACCATCAGGACTAGACTTATACACAATAAACGAGTCATTATTTTGCAGACAAAAGTCGTTTTAATTATAAGAAAATTATTTGATTTGAAAACGTGTTATAAAAATGTTATAAAATTAATAGTCTTTAATAGACTTGTCTACAGAGCACCTGTATGTGAAATGATTTTATTTTAGCTGATGTCCAGGTCTTATATGCAAACCAACTGACCCACTGATTGCTAGCCTACAGTCACGTATGCATTATTGACATTGAAAAATGACTTTTACCTGGATAGTTTACGAGATTATAGTTTATGGAAAATCCTATTAAATATGTGCAAAGTATGTGAGTATTTAGGGATAAATATTTGAAAACATTTTTTAGTGTAATAATATTTCCTAATAATATTTCCTAAGTTTTAATAAATTGTATGAAAATGTGTATTGAGTTGGAAAAGTTAAATAATATAAGTTCACATAAAATGTTATTTGTTTTGAATGATCACTTTTAAATATAATAACTTAAATAGCATAAATACACTTGATTTTTAAATAGTCAGTTAGAAATGGTAATCCCCATTTGAGTGCATATAAATATTACAAGGTTTTATAAGTGCATTTGTTAACACTGTATTTATTACAGTATGTAAACTTTAAATACAATTTTTGAACATTCATTTAAGTCTATCGAAAGCTTTTAAGTAGTTTTCAAAACTGTAATGTTTAACACAAACTTAATGCTTGTTTAATATTTGTATTCAATTATCAAACAAGTGGACAGTGAACCGTACACAAATAATTTTATTTACTATTGATTATAATTTTAATCAATTTATTTTATAAACAAGGATCATTATGAGTTCATTATATAGCATTTTAATGTACTTTTATAAAATAAGCATGCTAATTAACAAATAATATAATGAAAAGTTAATGTAAATTATTTTTTTAAAACAAAACTTTTTATATAACACAGACTTTGTATTACTGAACGCACGTCCTATTTTCACACCCAACCCCACAAGACATACCGGTGCCCTAACCCAGCATCTCTCTCAACCGGCTCTGGTGTCGGAGATACCTCTTTTCGTAGGCACTGTAGCGCTTGTAGTCGAGCGTACGACTGGCCCTCGAGAGCTCCCTTTCCAACTCGCGTACGGCCCGTAACTCCTTGTCCAGTCTGGCGGCCAGTTTCCGGTTGCTATACCGGTGTCGCTGCCAATGGGTCTCGTATTCGCGGATTAGTGGCCGCACCCGACCTAATAGGACGGCCGGTCGATGCTGAGCCTCGATAGCTAATAATGAACAAGGTCATCGTAATTAAATAAATGTTATTTTTGAAAATATTATAAATAGCATGCTTATAATTTTGCATAGAAATTAGTATCTAATGTATTATTAATTATTTTACTAGTATATATGAATATATGAAATTAATTTGTATTTTAAAATATATTTTTTAGATAGATAAATTAAATACAATAGTATAAGCTTGACTATTTAACTTATAAATTATAAATATTAAAAAAATTACCGCATATTAAGACAGCAATGAATACCAAGGCAAATATTGCAGCTTTCATGATTACAATGTTTTCAAATAAATACTGTTTTTTATTTTAATATTGTCAAACTATTTATATAAATTATATACCAGAGTTGTTTTTATAAATTAACAAATATGTGCTAATTTTAGTTTCTTAGAAAAACATAAATACTATTCATTCAGATAATAAAACAAGTTTTTTTTGTGAAATTATAAATATTACGCTTAAAGTCATAGTTTTCTTAGGAAATCCCTGAACCCTATTTGTAAATATCAAAAATATTTGTTACCAAGGTTATTACATTTTTTTCAGATAATAAGATTACATCTAATTTTAAAATAAAATTTTTATTTTTTAAACACAATTGTTTTTATATATAAGGTTAATATGATGTTTTAGATAAAAATTTATTTATTACTTATAATAAGCATAAAAATAAATTATTATTTAGCTGAAAAAATTACGCAATCAATTTTATTATATTGCTACTGGGAAAATAATAAAAGTTTGTTTTTCATAGTAATATATACTATTATAAATTCAAAACCTGTCATCACGACTAATTTAAAAATATAATTTGTATTTTTAAACATTATTTCAGGGTCCATTTTCCATACACCTTGAGATAACATGTTAAATGATAATCTATTAATAAATGTTGAATAATTATTTTGTACAGTCTGTAGGTAAATGACGAAATAATTGCTTGATCAAAAGTATTCATTGATAGAGATTTATACTATTCTTAATACAAACAAAAAAGTATATAATTTGTGGAAATATCTATAAAAGCAAATAAATTATAGATAATATTTTTTAACTACTAGCACGAGTTATTGATTACAATGTACACCCAGTTTATTTTGGTAGCCGCACTAATTCAGGCAGTGCTCAGTGACAATGTTAGTGGACTGACCATGGTCAATGGCACCAACATGAACCAGACACAAAACGCTCAAATTACGGACGTGGTATACATGATATAATTATTATGAAAACAATTATTATTATAATTAGCTATATGAACAGGGACAAGTAAATGGTACCGAAATGAACCAGACACAATACGCTCAAATAACGGACGCGGTATAAATCATATTAATTTTAATATTAAAAATTAATATCGTTAACTGTATGACCAGGGACAACATATATTACGCTCCGTAAAGCTCGCACGCGAATCAACACCAAATCTATTGCTATTTAAAAATGTGAATCAAACTGTAGTCAACGCCAATATGACCAAGATTGTCAAATTATTTATGCAAATGACCGAGGACTTTGAAAATAACACGTGCCTGAGCCTACAGGAAAAGGACTTTGGCCGCGATTTGGGTGACAACTGTTAGGCCAATATCGCGGTCAAAATCAGGGACAGTATGGTCGCCGACTATCTGGTTGTGGTGCTGGAGAAGGCCTACGGTATTACCGCCGGATCGATGGACCTGTCCTTCCATATGTTTGACTTCTTTTTAGGTCCCCTGTATGTTTAAACATGTGAAAACTTTTGTGCTTGATACTATGAGTTTTAAATAAAATTAACATTTGAAGTATTATAATGTGTAATTTTCATATTTGTAACCATTTATATATATTTATAATTTGTTTTAATAATCACTTATTTGTAAATTAATTATTTATATATTTACTAGGGTTGCGAAATTTAAATTAACAAGTAGGTGCTAATTAAAACCTTTTTTTAAAAAATTAATATTATTTATTCATGGAAATAATAAACAAGTTTTATTTGTAAAATTTTAAATATTGTGCTTAGGTCATAGTGTTTCTTTGAAATACCTGAACCTTATTGTAAATATCAAAATATTTATTATCAAGGTTACTACATTTTCTCAGATAAATGAGATAATTTTGCTTTTTCATAGTAATTTAAATACATATTTTAAAACTTGTCATCACAACTAATTTAAAAATAATATTTTTATGTTTTAAACAGAA